AGCAACTGGAGACACCACGAATCTCCAGAAACGCTTAGGCTGAGAGAGGCTGGCGAGAAATCAAAGATGGACATCGGACATAGAGAATGGTAGATCTGGTGGAGACATACAAGCCCACAAAATTCACGTTGTGGATCTGACCCCAGCATAAATGAGGGGTGATGAAATCTCAATTTGCTGCTTCCTCGAAGCATTTGCTCAACTCACAGAAAACCCTCAAATCCTCAGTTCGCCCATCTTCTGTGGGAGCCTCAGTTGACGTCGATCGGAAGAGAGTTAGCATATGTTTTTAGATTCGGTGTTCCCCTGCAAAGGTAATTCCTTACTGGCGGAGCTCGATTCTCATACACAGTCTAAGCACCTTAAATATCCGATTTTGGAAGAGATGCTACAATGAGTTTCGAGACGGCAATCTAAGATCGCTACATTTACTAGGCCTCCACGGATGGCCAGTCACGAACTTCCCTCACACACTTGAACTGAAGAAGAATCATGAAGAGTCCAGATAGTCGAGATAGTGTTTTCGTAGGCCACTTTGACAAGGTCCTTCGTCTCCGAGGTCCTTTCTGTCCGTTTTTCCTGAAACGTCCCAGGTATCATGGCCTTCTTCAGCCAGATCGCTGATGCCTTCACACTGTGCTCCCAGCCGCCGGCCGAGCGCCCGGTCCGCACCACGGCAGATCCGCCCATGGCACCAGAGGATGCCTTGAAGCTCTTGAAGGACATGGGATGGTGGATGGATGTGGACATGGTGGTGATTTGGATTTCTTTGGGATGGTGGGTGGATGAGTTTAGATGCATTGTTGGATGGTTTTTGTGCCCTTGCTCTCAGCACTAACAGCCAAATCAATGGTGGACACATCGTCTTTCTGGTTGGTTTGAGTACCTTTGAGTCATTGGTTTAAGCATGTTTAAGCACTGTGCCGGAAACCTGTGAGGACGGCAACCGTCGCTTTGTGCGAGGCTGTCCCTGGGGTTCGGCGACCAAAGATGCAGCTCGTCAGCAGCTGGTGGATGAAGGCCAGGCACCCCACACTGCCATCATCGGCTGTGCAGATTCGAGGGCACCGCTCGAGACGATCTTTGATGCCATGCCAGGCCGGAGCAAAGAAGTTGTTCAAGTAAGAAAGCAGACACGCAATGGACTGACTGACATATTAGGATGCTGGGAGCATCTTTAATCTCAAATTTGAGGTAGGGAGTTCACAAACTGGAGCAACTGCCAAAGCGGATTGACTTTGCTTGTGTTTCGAACCAGTTCTGTCCAGGCGATATCTTCGTTCTGCGCAATGCAGGAAACACATGCACTCACGCCGAAGGCAGTATGGTGACTTTCCTGCACCTTTTGGAATTGCTTTCAACGGGTTCAACTTGTTGATGAAAAGGTGCAGCCGTGTGTTTGATCAAGGTTGGAAGCCTGGAGTTTGCCACCGGCAAGTTGGGAAGTCGTCTTATTCTGGTTCTCGGCCACACGAAGTGTGGTGCGATTTATGGTGCGACCAAGACATACTTGGATGCAGGTGGAGCAGGAAAGAAGGCAGGGGTCTGGGGTCCTCTGGCCAGAGATGCTCGGAAAGCCGTTTCAAGAATTCCAGAACGGTTCAGGTGATATTTCCTCGTTCATTTCGACCTGGTGCTATAGTGAAGAAGGGTATACGGTGTGGTATATTCAAGTCGAGAACATGCATTGAATCACGCTTGCTCTCCCATCCAGAAATGATGGCCCAGTAGCTCGGTGTTAGCGTTGTCAATGATTTGTGATTCTGTGAAGAAGGGACGGCGCGTCAGTCTCAAATCGGCCCTTGCAAGGCTGGATGTGCCTTGGAAGGCTTGCTCCAAGACCTTGGCTCTGTGGCACAAGTGGCCGCTGAAGAGATGGGAGCTGGTGCATCGTCCGATGAGGTTGCAGCTCATGCTGTGAAGGTTGGATTTGCGTGATTAGCGCACCTGGTATTGTATATATACGGTATATATATACACATATATATATATACACATACATACATAGGATATATATATATATATGATGTATATGTATGCCATATGTATACATATTAGAATAATACGTAGACGCGTACATTGAAATCATAGTTTTTTCTTGAGTATAACTTAATCTTGACAACTGGAAACACAGATCAATCCCTCCTGCAAGCCTTTGTTTGGGATTTGACCTGCCAAGACGAGACATTGCAGGTCAACGTCTTCCACACCATGAACTTCTTGCTGAAGTTCAGTCAGTCCATTCGAGAGGGTGTGAGAAGTGGCCAGATTGAGATCCAAGGTGGCATCTACCACCTCGAGACCGGCTCCGTGGAATTCCTTGGAAAGTCTCCCGCCCAAAAGGAATTGCTCGAGAGTGCCATGCCTCTCCCGCCATCCATGGTTGTTCCGGGCGACGCTGATCGTGGTGTGCACGGAGTGCGCACTGGTGCTGATGAGCGAGTGCCATCTGATTTGGCATTGAAGATGCTGAAGGCAGGAATTCGCATCATTGTACAGAAGACAGACGCATGCATGTTCTGCTTCCAACACCTGGCTCTTCAAACAGTTTACTTTCACTGCTTTGGTTTCGATTTTCGGTTTGTTTGTTACTGAGGTAGGCCCTCAAGCTTTTGTGCATGGAACATGATACAGTAAATCCAACATTGTTCAAGGCACAATAGTCTTACTCAAAGGTTGACATGTCTTGCACCTGGCAGGATGGCAATGAGCGATTCGCCGTTGGTGCTGTGACAGCTAGCAAGACGTCTGGGGACATGCGAAAGGCCTTGGTGAAGCACAACCAAGCCCCCCACAGTGCCATCCTGGGTTGCGCCGACTCCCGAGTTCCGGTCGACACTGTATTTGATGCTATGCCTGGAGAGCTTTTTGTTCTTAGGAACGCTGGCAACACCTGCACACACGCAGAAGGCAGTATGGTTGGATCTTTGGAATTTTGCACCGGCAAGCTTGGCACTCGTTTGATTCTTGTCTTGGGACATACTCAATGTGGAGCCATTGCCGGTGCCACTGCCACCTACCAGAGTGGCGCCTCCCAAGCTCCAGGCGAGCGAGACATGTTCAAAGCTGTGGGGGTGAGTTCAAGCATGTTTGTGCTAAACTCCGTGCATTCAACATTTAGGTTTGTTAAGTGGTTTGTTGTCCTGTAAGTGGAGTTGATTATGTTTACGAATTATCAGAGCGCCACAAGTTCATGCTTATCAGCCAATCACTACTTTGAAATGCACAGAAACTGCCTATGAACGCAGCGTTCCACCACTGCTCAGGTTGTGCATTGGAAGGTTTGTTGCAAGGCCTTGCTTCTGTTGCCAAAGAGACCAGCGAGGAGCTGGGTCCAAATGCATCGCAGGATCAGTTAGTATCCCACGCCGTGAAAGTGAATGTCTTCAACTCCATGAATTTTCTGCTGAAGCTGCTGGGGTCTGCTCAGGATGACTGCAAGATGTTGTTTTGGGGGTGTATCAGACTTAAGTAGATACCAGAGGGCATGATTGGGGTCGACTGGGGACAGTGGGAGGTTCCAGACCAGAACGTCAGTGGAGGGTCTATCTAGCATTTATAGAGTGGAGAGCAGTGACTAGTGGATCTTTTTTGGGGCCCGGGCCGGGTTCTTCTCCTCTTAAACGGTATTTGTGAGATATTAATTTCTGCAGGGCTTTGGAACAATCTGAACGGCTTGTGACATGTGATTCGTGATGCAAGGTTCAGCGAGCCTTTGCGGGAATTGGTGCGGAAGGGTGAGTTGGACATCCAGGGCGGCATTTATCATTTGGACACGGGGCGCGTGCAATTCCTGGGCCGCTCTCCTCGTCAGGCTGAACTCCTGGCTTCTCAGTTGTCACTGCCACCCTCCATGGCTTTGGGAGCGATCCGCACGCCCCAAGATGGCACATTGGACCCTTGGACTGCCGAAATGATTCAATAACTTACCGATGATTGCTTGACCCATTTTGGATGATCTTAATTTCTGCGTTCATCTCACTTCTAAGTCCGTAAGCTGAGTTTGAACAGCTCAGGAGCCCAAGCTCGCACTGAAGAACCTGAAGGATGGCAATGAGCGCTTCGTGGTGGGTGCTCCCATTGCCAAGGTGCATCCTAACATGCGCGAGGCTTTGGCGACCAAGGGCCAAGCGCCACACACCGCCATCGTTGGATGCGCAGATTCTCGTGTGCCCTTGGAGACCGTTTTTGATGCATTGCCTGGAGATCTCTTCGTGCTGCGCAATGCTGGGAACACCTGTACACATGCAGAAGGCAGTATCTTGGGCAGCCTTGAGTTTTGCACTGGGGCCCTGAAGACACAGCTCATCTTCGTGCTGGGCCACACCAACTGCGGGGCCATCAAGGGTGCCACGGCCGCCTACCTGGCATCCAAGGATGCGAAGCGGAAGAAGGCCGCCCCCAGTGTGGTGGTTCCTAAGCAAGACCACGAAAGCATAACAAATCATGAACATTCATGAACCGTATGCACAACGGAAGATGCGGCCAAGACGAACTTGGTTCCTCATGCTTCCTGTGCACCAATTACATGTTTCAGACACACTTGCCTCATGTTGCACAGATACACAGAAATTTACAGAAATCCTCCAGGTTCACAATATAAACATATCTAAACATAGTGTGGCCATGACCACCACCTCACAATAAGAGCCAGCGAACACCACCACCAGGCTTCCAAGTACCAGACCTGGTCGTAGAACGTGGTAAACACCAATCGCAAGCCCCACATGGGGAGACATGAAACATGTATATGCATATTGGAACATGGGAATCAGTATGAATCAGTAGCATCGCCACTTGTGAGGCCTCTCAAGCGCTGGAGGTGCTATTGAGCGAGTTGGGCTCGGTGGCGGCCGAGGCGCAAGCCCAGTGCGGATCGAAGGCCGGAGGTGTGCGTGGTCTTGGCTGGATTTCTGACAGATCGAGGAGTTGACTACTTGTAGTAGGATGTATGTAACTGTAGTAGGTAGGATGTATTAATATTACGTAGATGTTTTGGGGCTTGTCTTAATGTTGGACAGGAGACCTTGAAAACTCGCGACCTCCAACCTTCACCCGCCAAAACGAGGCCACGGAAGAGGAGATCGCTACAGCCGCAGTGAAGCTGAATGTCTTGCACACCATGAACTTCTTGTTGCAGCAACTCTGCCCAGATCTTCTGATAGATACTGTAGTTGTGAATCATGAACATCCCTTAACCCTTGGCAATCGTATATATATATATATACACGAATTCATATTTCATATCTCATTCGCATATTCATCATTTGAGCACCGTGGTTCTTGAATGCACCAGCCTCGGACAAACTTGCATAGCAATCATAGCATTGCATAGCCAGAAAAACACTCCAACAATATGAAATGGACGGAACAAGAATGGTTCTTTCCGAGTCAAGTTCCTCCATAGATTGTTGAGTTCATCTTTCCTCAACTGCTGGGCGTTTGCAGTACGATCATGCCACCGCAAGCCCTCAGCCAAGGTACAGCCAACCAATCCGGGAGAAGGCGAGTTCCACAGTTGAGTTTTTTGCATATGCTTTGAATCGATCCTAATGGACATGAAGGTCATTCAAGTTCCTTATGGTTTGATACACTCAACACGGGTCAATCACAAGTCGATCACAAGTCGATCACATTCGGACGAATGGTGAGGTGCGCAGCGGCGAGTTGGAGATCCAGGGAGGGGTCTATGACTTGAAGTCGGGGCGCGTGGAGCTCCCTGGCATCACTTCGAGCGACTTTTCATCCCACTCTCCCAATGTCTACCATCCCGATCTTAGTCTTTTGAGCAGACACTCTTGAGTCTTGAGAATGATAGAAGGTGACAGACCATAGAAAGGTGTTCTTGCCTCTGGAAGGGGCTGAGAGAGATAGATAGTTTACAGATGTTTAATTTTGTTTCTGATTTGGCTTCGTGGTGTCCAGCAGCTCTTGATCTCTGCAGGGATTGGTCTTGTTTCTAGATGAGGTTCTTGGGTCAGAGCCCAATGCAGTCCAAGTTGGTGAACTCCACGACCAAAGCTGCGCCATCATTGCAGCAAGCGATTGGCGGAGCATGAGCAAGATCGCAACATAGACGCTTTTGCCACGCTCGTCCAGGGGTTTTTCAGGCATTTGAGACCAGGTTGAGCAAAAGGGACAATTCACGATCTGAGTCAGACTCAGAACATTTTTCGATCTTTTTCGAGTTGCAATAGTTGATTTCGCTGCACAAGAGATTGCAGCTCCTGCATCTTCCAGAGTGAAGGAATTCTCAACTCGCCCTGAACCATCGGCCCTTGTTCACCTTTTTGGTGGGTCAGTCGGTGGGGGAATGTGGCGTTGAGGAGAACCATGAATTTGCTGAGCATTATTGAGCTGTTGGGGGGTCCCTGGTGCACAGACGCTAACACCCCTCAGCAACTGGAGACACCACGAATCTCCAGAAACGCTTAGGCTGAGAGA